AGTAAGTTTGGGAAAGATTTGGTGAAGTGGTAAAAGAGGATGATAGCATGATTGTGAAGCGCTGTACAAATTCCACATCACAAAACGGAAATTCAAATAGGTCTATGGCATGTCAAGGGAACTGTAGCCTACGGTTTAGATGTGTTAAATGGAAACTGAAATCTGGACACTGACTGTACAGTATGTCTATAACCTTTCACATAGCCTTAATATTAACTCCTGCAGAATTAAGCATTTCTTGCAGTAAAATGATCTTGAGATGCTGTCAGCATGATAAAAGCTGATAGTATTTCAACCACATAAAATATGCATTGAAGCTGAACTGAAGTCTTATCAGAAACACATTGTGTCATTTTCACAGCTTTCAATTTCCTTACAACCGGTCAAACTGATGTCATTTGGACATTTTGCACAGTAAATCTTTCCCGTTTTCTTTTGCATTATTGCATTTTCTACCCAGTCCCTAAAAATCTTTGCTCCGCGAAAATAGATGACAGACAAAAGTTTACCCATGAACAAAAATATAAACACAACATGTAAAGTGTGGTCCGATGAGCTGAAATAAAAGATCCCAGCAATTTCCATACGCACAAAAAGCTTATTTCTCTAAAATGTTGAGCACAAATCTGTTTACATCCTTGTTAGTGAGCATTTCTCCTTTGCCAAGATATTCCATCTATCTGACAGGTGTGGCATATCAAGAAGCTGATTAAACAGCATGATCATTACAGAGGTGCACCTTGTGCTGGGGACAATAAAATGATACTCTAAAATGTGCAGTTTTGTCACACAACACAATGCCACAGATGTCTCAAGTTTTGAGGGAGCATGCAATTGGCATGCTGACTGCAGGAATGTCCACCAGAGCTGTTGCCAGAAAATTTAATGTAAATATCTCTACCATAAGCCGCATCCAACGTTGTTTTAGAGAATTTGGCAGTAGGTCCAACCTGCCTCACAACCGCAGACCACGTGTAACCACGTCAGCCCAGGACCTCCACATCCGGCTTCTTCACCTGCGGGATCGTCTGAGACCAGCCACCCAGACAGCTTATAAAACTGAAGAGTATTTATTTCTGTAATAAAGCCCTTTGTGGGTAAAAACTCATTCTGACTGGCTAGGCCCCCAAGTGGATGGGCCTATGCCCTCCCAGGCCTACCCATGGCTGCGCCCCTGCCAATTCATGTGAAATCCATAGATTAGGTTTTAATGAATTTATTTCAATTGACTGATCTCCTTATATCATCTGTAACTCAGTAAAATCGTTGAAATTGTTGCATGTTGCGTTTATATTTTTGTTCAGTATAGCATTCATTCTATCGATCTATTACATTATTTCTTGAGCAAGGGTTTATTTAGTCTTCTAGGTCAACATATACTGACAAAAGAGAAGCTGCTTGTATCTAATTACAAGTTGACTGACTAACAAATAGCCTACCAAAATGTCAGAAAATAAAAAAATGTCCTCATCAATCTACACACAATACCCCATAATGACAAAGTGAAAATATATATATTTTTTTGTTTGTGCAAAAAAAAATTAAAAAAAATGCCTTACATAAGTATTCAGACCCTTTGCTATGAGACTCGAAATTGAGCTCAGGTGCATCCTGTTTCCATTGATCGTCCTTGAGATGTTTCTACAACTTCAGGGGAGGGAATGGCCGGCAGGGATGTAGCTCAGTTGGGAGAGCATGGTGTTTCCAACGCCAGGGTTGTAAGTCGCTCTGGATAATAGCGTCTGCTAAATGACTAAAATGTCTCGGATCCCTCCACGCGAAGACAAGAAGACGAGTCACGGCACCAGTATAACAGATGTATGTCGTTTTCTCCTAATAAATCACATCAGCTAGTGGTCCCAGTTGAGCATAATTTATTTCTGTTAAATGGGAAACAGCACGTTAGTTGTGCAGAGCTTAACGATATTGATGGCTGTAGATGGCAAAATCTGTAGCATGAAGGCAACTGTGTTAGCAGTGGGCTTTTGTGACCATTACATCGGTGTATGCTAGCTAACACACTTATCTACAGCAATCATATGCAAAAGCACATCCCAGAAAGCCCCTCAATCCCCAACAGGTACCATATACCCACACATGTATAAATCAGTAACGTACAGCAACCTTGTACACATTGTAAAATATAAAACAGTATTCAGAACATGACCTACCCCTTGCATCACATTTTCATACTGGGAAGAACTGACGTTCGCGATCTCCCCCTAGCTGCAAGCGTGGCCAATCACAACACGCCTTATTGTCATCAGAGTTGAACCAACCAATAAGAATGCTTGAACATTAAATACACATTTCTTTAGAGGCAAGTGGAAACATAACCAACCCTGTTACATGAGCTCAATTTCGAGTCTCATAGCAAAGGGTTGAATAATTTTTTGAAGACGCCCGGCCACAGCTGCATCACCCCAGCACAGGAGTTGTCCAATGAGAGGAAAGTAAATTTGGTCAGATGGTCAAAAGTGTCTGCTGCGAAACTAAAGACGTGAATGTCGGTTAGTTAGAGCGATTGGAGGGAGCTGAGGCCACAGAAAAAGGCATAAGGCAACACGTTGAGGCCCTGGGGCATCTGTGCATTTAGTTTGAGGTTGCAAAGATTGGTCAGATTCACAAAACGAGAGTTGGTGCATTTAGAGGAAAAGCTAACCTGATTCCTTTGTAGATCAAGCACTTCAAGTGTGCCGTGGGATGGTTTAAACTTGGCGCTGTTGATCTGTTTGAGATTGTTTCCGTCTAGGTAAAATTTGGCCAGGTTATTGAGCCCCACAAAGGCTAACTCTTCAAAATGAGTATGTTTGTTCCCTCCAAGTTTCAAAATGTGCAGGTATTGGAGTGAATGGAAAGTCTTGTTGAAAATAACAGTGATCTAATTGTTACGTCGGTTAAGTATTTCCAGGCTCTGCAGATCTTCAAAGCTATTGTTATATTTATCTATCAGGTCATTGTCCAGATGCAGTGTGACAAGACTAGTCAGCCCACTGAAAGTCTTATGGTCAAGATAGGCGATTATGTTGAGTTGCAGGACATTAGGGAGGTGAGGTGGTTTTTCTCTGCTGTGAAGTTCTTGATTTGATCCTGTCCTTTGAGAAAGTGGAGGCATCTTACCTTCCTCAACTGGTTGAAGGAAAGGTCCAATAAACCTCGGATTGGTGGACAGTTGGAAAGTGTGTTCTTTCGCAATGAAAGAATCCCATTGCTTCCCAGACGCAGCTTTTCAACAAATTTGACCTTTGTACTCAAAAGGTGGCATAACTTTATGAGCAGATCGTCCGTTTTCAACCCCATACCAGAAATGTCTGTGCCCAGCTCTAACATTGCTGACATTCGAAAGCTCTGGCACTGTAACATTGGTTGAACGCAAACGCATGTAGTTTAGTTTCTGTAAGTCCCGACCTTGGAAAGCCCTTGAAGGGAGCTGGTCATTGTAGGAGAGATCCAGCAGTATTATATGGCTAAGGAAGCCCCACTCACATGCTAAAGTGACCCGTTTGTTTTTACAGATATAGAGGGTGTTGAGGGACTCTGGTAGGTGATTAGAATGCTGGAAGAACATTAGATAATTATTGCACAGGTCTAACTTAGTTAGTTTCGGTAAGTGAGACACAGAATCTGCCACCGCAGAGAAATTGTTCAGGTAGTTCTGCCGTAATATGAACGCATCCAGATTGGAGAGCCAGGAGAAAATACCTGGAGGGAGCCATTTCAGTGAGCTATTAGTTAGTGACAGGTTGACATGGTTATTGAGGTGCTGAGATTTGATACACTATATGACCAAAAGTATGTGGACACCTGCTGTTTGTTGAACATCTCATTCCAAAATCATGGGCATTAATATGGAGGTGGTCCCCCCTTTGCTGCTATAATAGCCAACACTCTTCTGGGAAGGCTTTCCCCTAGATGTTGGAACATTGCTGCGAGGAATTGCTTCCATTCAGCCACATGAGCATTAGTGAGGTCGGGCACTGATGTTGGGCGATTAGGCCTGGCTTGCAGTCGGCGTTCCAATTCATCCAAAAGGTGTTCGATGGGGTTGAGGTCAGGGCTCTGTGCAAGCCAGTCAAGTTCTTCCACACCGATCTCGACAAACCATTTCTGTATGGACCTCGCTTTGTGCACGGGGACACTGTCATGCTGAAACTGGAAAGGCCCTTCCCCAAACTGTTGCCACAATGTTGTAAGCACAGAATCGTCTGGAATGTCATTGTATGCTATAGCGTTAAGATTTCCCTTCACTGGAACAAAGGAGCCTAGCCCAAACCATGAAAAACAGCCCCAGACTATTATTCCTCCTCCATCATTCGGGCAGGTAGTGTTCTCCTGGCATCCTCCAAACCAAGAAATGTGCTAAATGAAAAATGATCACTATTTGATTGATTAACGATGTGACAGAGCTCGGCGATACACACAATCTTTTTGTATATGTCTGTTTTCCTTTGAAGAAGCTAAGCAGCTCTCATGGTTTGTATCGGTGACTTGGTCTGTTATCTGGTTAAATAAAGGTAAAATAAATTTAAAAAATCTGCGCAACGGCGGCGTGCCTTTCCCTCATGAACAAACACCGGACGATTCCAAAGCTAGAAATGAGGAGGTATGCTACGTTTATCTGCAACTATAATCCCCTTTGGTAGTCACTTTGATAGCCTTAATTTACAGAGAAAATACATATTTTAGGGAAGTATTC